GAGAGGGGGGGGAGAGAGGGGGGGAGAGAAAAACACTCATTTCTGATAAATGACATTAAACAATACTACTTCCTTTCTTTCACCATAATAAGTATAGAGATTCTTTTCCTTCTACTGTGTAAGATGGAATCTTAATGCACTTGTAAATGCAAAATTGCAGGAGAATGGCAGAAAGAGGGTTTCAATCCAGGGAAAAACATGCAACTTCGCACCACCCTGATATAAGGCATATAAATAGGGCCTTTGTAAATGAAAGGAATTCGATCATTATTTTAATGGGATATTTAACTTATTGGCAGTAGGAGATGGAGCTCTTGACAAGATTTTCAAAATAATTCAATTTGCAAGGGTACCAGAAGGTTATACTAGAGTTGGTGCTCTTTGAAGTAGTTGAAATTAGTTCGCCTAACAGCAGAATGCATCAACAATTAGGAAATACGTCAAAACTATTTTGTCACTATAGATGCACTCAAACTGTGAATTGTATTTCTAATATAAACAAGTGAAAATCATGCATAAAATATTACCATTTGTATTTCATCAAAGGAAAAACTCAGAGTGTAAAATATGTTTCATCGGAGAATTTAATGGTCATCTCTTGAGTTCTGATACTCCGAATTCCCCCCTCCCCTCCCTTCCCCCCCCCCCCAACTACTTTCTTTAGCAAGTTGAAGAAAAGAACCAAGTTCACAGAGGTTTGAAGTCAACTCCCTCCCCCTAAATTCATTAGCCGGTCAATAAGGTTAGGGCGACGTATACATGAATTTACTCAGAAAAGAATGAGATAAAAGTTCCACTTCGAAACCTGAAGCATTGCAACATGAAGCAACTGATCATATCAAAGAGGTCAAAAGCGGAGTAAAAATTGTATCGGATATGCTAGATGCTTGACTGTCCACTTCAGTGACGCTTTGCAACGCCCTGTGATCATGTCCGTTTTCATGATAAGCATTGCAAGAGGAAATAGATTAAGTAATTAATAATTAACTATCTTTAATCTTTGCAGCATAAGCTATGCAAAATAAAGGATGAATAGTTTATACCCAACCATGGGCATCACTGGTGCTCGCTAAATAGCTAACTAAATCTATAGAAAAAATTGCAATTCAGTCGCATTTTGGAGACGTAGGGGTCAACCTGCACGGATTTAAAGTCGGAGACCACTGTTTCGATATTCATTGAATAACTAGAATTGATTGCAATCGTACGAGAGATAGATTTCTTGTCTACGAAGTCCCAAGATGTCCATTCTCCGATCACAATGGGTGACCAAAGGGAATATGGCTAATGAGTAAATCGTTTTGCTGGAATAACAAGAACCGAGGTCAAAACTTTTGTCAGCTAACAGTTGAAAACCACTGCTGTCCCCCCCCCCCCCCCCCCAATGACTTTTTTCAGACATGGAAGTTGGTGATTTGGGAGAAAATGAGCATGAAGACATCTCTGCAGCTTCGTAGAAGAAAATCTAGTGCATTTTCATAAATAAATTGGTGGTGGTAGGGCGATTTTGATAAGGCATGAGAGTCATTCCCTTATTTTAATCCCATTTGTACATAAAGATAAACAAAGATTCTATTGTTTTAATTAATTGGGCCTCCCAAAGCAAAAGAATTTTCATAGAGGGAATTATGGAAAATTGGCAGTGCAATCTTCGTGTATTTCGTCTCCCGTTTATCGAAAACAAAACCATTTTCTATATGTATATATACATGTGTGTATATCTTCGAGGGAAACTTTTTATCAGATTGCAGGCCAATAAAGTGTCAGCTCGCCGCCATTTCAGCCTAATTTGTGGAATAGGCCGCGTAATTACTTCAACGCCGACAAATGTTTCGATACTATCAGATATTTATTCTTGATATTTTTAACTACGCCTTCCGTGCAAAAACCATGATCTTATTTGGGAAAGTGCCTTCTTCCTGATAGCCGACCCGGTAGATTAGGATAATCGGGTGTCACCGTTGAGAAGCCTGAAACCTGTCATACCTCCCTTTACCATTAGCCAGACTGCAAATATGCCAATGGAGCCCTCATCTCCTACTAAAAACACGAGCCTGTTAGCCAATCACAAATGTCCGCTTAGTACCACGGAAATCACACTTGACTGCAGAGTGTACATTTTACCATCCCATTATTTGCAATTGAATATTCACCGAAAATGTAAAGTAAAGTGAAATTGGAAGCCTTTGCCACTGAAAGTGTAAATTTACTCTAAAACCAGCCTTGTCTTCATGTGTATATCGATTTCGTAAAGCAACGTGTTTTCGCGGCAGAGTAACCGAAACATACCTAATTTAAGGAGGTGCATCAGTGATAGGTTCATGACTACTTGGAATTTTTTTACACAAAGCCAAATTTTCCACAGTAAAGATCTCAAGGATATGATTGAATCAACTTCATTAATTTTGATGCAGGGGTGTGCGATAGACTTACTCTCACTTGCGCACCCTAGGCAACGTACACTCATACGTCAAAAAGGTCTATAAATCGTCAGTTGCCTTCTCACTTCAAACCACCATGACCCAACCGTAATGTCATATTCGAACACTTCCAAAGTACTCATCTTACCCTTTCTGAGCCTTTGTATCAGTCTGTCTCATTTACATCTGTGAATCACTTCTCTGTTTCCCCCTCTCCACTTTTTCTCACTCTGATGTTTCTCCCTCTGTGAAGCCCGAAGTCAGCTAAAGGGCTAGTGATAGCTATCAAAACGCCTGCCATTTGAAATAAATAAATTTTGACGCAAAATTGATTATAGTACATCTGCTTGCTCAATTAGTATCTTGCAAGCTAGTGAAAGTAAACTGAGAAATCTATACCATCATATGACTGCAAGCGACACAACCAAATCGAAAAAAAATTTAAAAAGTCATATTACAGAATACTTAACCCGTACTCTTTATCTGAGATAAGAAAGTGGAATAGAATTATTTTCTTCAAAAATGTGCAATTTGCCATTTTAAAGCCATTAAAAGCGAAGCACCCCCCCCCCCCCCCCACCCCACCCCACCCCCCGAGAGGACTATAAAAAACACACCCATGTGTACCCTCCAAAAAAAGAAGGGTGAAAATGTCTGGGGAGAAGGATGTCGATTCCCCAACACGTGGAAAAGAATGTGAAAAAATGAATGAATGAATGAATGGGCAAAGATGAAAAGGCAAAGCAAGAGAGAGGTAGATAAGGGAGAAACAATTGCCAAATTAATAACTTATAAAATCAAAGAATGTATATATATATATATATATATATTAAATAAATATCTTTGTAAAAAATCTATTGGAAATACAAGAATAAGAAAAAATCACCCGATAAGGTACATTTAAGTGAGCAAATGCACTGTTAATAAATAATTGTGCTGAGTGTTAGTGTCAATTATTGCACAAACCCACATCAGAGTAAATACCCTCATCATACGGAAAGAAAAACGCTGTGAGAATTGGCCTTTCTAAATTGTTATTAACCCGTATAGAGGAGTATTTGAATAGACAAATCCAGCGTCACTTGACGCATCAAAAGTGCGCTATTCCGTTCTGTACTCCGATAGCGCCTATAAGGTTATTAAAAGGTAACTATTTATGAAGACGTCTAAATCCTTGATTATGATAATAAGAAGGGAAACAGTTATTGCAAGAGTGAACATTCGCACCAACGTAATGAATGTCCACAAACATCAAAGTAAAGCTCAAATTATGAAAGTTATCCCCCTCCCACCCACCCTCCTCCCCGCGCCCCCGGGTTGACTTGATGGGAGGAAGAAGTTTTTCAATCACCCTGTTGAAGAATTTTTTTAGGACAAATTTTTTTGGCCTTTCAGCTTGATGTTAGAAA